TGGCGGCGTGGTCCCCGGTGCCCAGGGCACCCTCCAGGGTGTCCAGCACAGCTTGGCCCACGCGGCGGTCAGCGGTGGCCAGGCCTGGTGCCTCCAGCAGCTGGAACAGGGCACTGGCCCGAGCCACGAACTCCAGCAGCACAAAGCAGGTGAGCATGCCGGCCCGGAACACGCCCAGTGGCACCGCTTCGTGGTCGCGGCACTGGATCTTGTGCAGCAGGGGTGCCACCACCTCCTCTGGGGCCTGGCCGTCCCGGCAGATGCGCCGAAGCAGCTCACTGTAGGTCCGCCCATCCAGCCCCGGCTTCTTCTTGCGCCCGCTTGCACTCAGACACTCATAGGCCACGCTGACATTGTTATTGAAGGCTGTCCTATGGGTGGGAAGAGAGGGTGTTGGGGACACAGCCCACCTGGCACCTGCTCACCCAAGCATCAGGCCAGGCTGGCCTCAGGGCCTTTGCACCTCCACCCAGAGGCTTCCCAACCCCCGCATCTTGGCCTCCTCCACATGTCTCCGTCGCCTCTCCTTCCCCAACCCGCACCCTGCGTTAGGGGATGAAACCTAGTGCTTTTACACTAGGCTCCGTCCTCAGCCTTTTCTACTTTTCATTTTGAGACAGGGTCTTGCTAAGTCGCTCAGGCTGCGGTCGGACTTGTGATTCTCCTGCCCCAGCTTGCCAGGGTGCTGGGAAGACAGGTGTGTGCCACCATGCCCCGTGGCCCCTGGCTGCCTCCTGCCCCAGGCGGGAGCTGGGGTTCAGGCAAAAACTGGCCCCAGGCGTGCTGCACTCTCCCCGTGCTTCCAGATGTGGCCACTGAGGGCCTGTGTGGATCTCCCCACCCTTCCCATGGCCCACAGTAGTGAGCACTGCGGTGCAACACACGGGCAAGCGGAGCCTCTGAGCAGGCTGAGGTGAGGCAGAGAATCCCAGAGGGCAACGGCCGACTCCAGGGCCCTCTCCGTCCCCTGTGGGGTCAGCTCCGAGAGGAGGGTCAGGTTCCTGTCACGCTGCACCCTGACCTCTAGCCGGATACAGTGGGCACTCAGTCCTGCCTCAGAGCTCATTGCTGCTGTGCAGACAGCTTGCCTTCCAAAGCCCTGTCACAGAGTGGACACTGAGGCCGGGCTGTGGCGTTGGCACTCGGTACCATGCTGTTCCCGTTTCCCACACAGCACCCACTAGCGCCACATGACTCTGGCCCGCAGTGGCCTCCGCGTCCCCAGCGCATGGGTGAGTGATGCCACAGGGAACCAGGCAGATGCCAGTGTGTTTTGTGAGCTGTTATAGGCCCAGTTCCATCTGCGCTTTCATGCTGTGAGGGCGGCTCTGAGTTCTGCAGCGCCAGGAGCAGATGCCAGGGTCCTGGGACAGCACATCTTTCCACTCTCGAGCCAGGCAGTGCTGTGTGACTTGCTTTGGCTGCTGTGATGTGAAGGGAAGTCACGCGTGGTCCCCTTTCCAGGCACTTTCAGAGCCACTGCAAGCTAGGCGTGGTGGCGCATGCCTGCCCTCTTACCCACTCTGGAGGCTAAGGCAGGAGGATGATGAGTTTGATGACAACAGGTGATTTAGCAAGACCTTGCCTCAAAATAAAATAAAAAGGGCTGAGGGTGTGGCTCAGTAGTGAGCACTTGCTTAGAACCACTGAGCCAAATCCCCAGCCCCTGTTAGTTTTATTTTAAGAAGTCTCACTATGCAGTTCAGGCTGGCCTTGAACCTGCAGCAATCCCCCTGCCTCAGCCTCTAGAGTGCTAGGGCTAGGTTTAAGTGTGATTGAAACATCTGTGGGCTGAGAGAGGCCCAGCTCTGTGCCCTGGTTTCCCTCTGCCAGGC